TGCCAGCTCGTATACGGTCAATCCGTGGAGAAGGAGAATGAAGTAGGCAATCTCAACTTTAGCATCCGTCGGATCGGTTTGGGTTCTAGGCGGGTGACAACGCGACCTGGACTTCCAGTGGTTGGAAACTCTGGAAGTCATGGAACGCAAGAGAAGTCAGTAGTAACAGCGTCGTTCAGTCGCATCATAAATTTCGTGGATAGCGAATGGAGCATAAAAACTACAAAACAAAAAACGCAACATGGTGCAAGTAAAGCCAAAAAATCGATTTCTTTTCGTACTGCAATTCGTTATTCCCCTTTTTGCCACAGTTCTGATAGCACATTGTTCGTACCTAGACTTCGAGGAATATATATATATATATATATATATATATATATATATTCCGTCCACCGAAAAGTGGCAAATCCAGTTTTAGTTAGTTAAGAGATTTCCTTCTGTGACAATGTTTAAAAGATCTCTTGATAATTGCTCACAAATTGGAACCACATGCGTTAATGAACCCGCAAGCGCAAATTGCGCATGTTCCATAGCGAGTGAACCGACTGCTCTTCGAAGAGCAAGATGAAGGATTCCCCGTGCAATGGGCATGGCTTCTATCCGATCATCCACAAAACCTAGGGGTCGAGGAGAGTCGTACAAGTTAGACAACAGTGGGCACACACACACAGGCTACTCATGTAACGTATATGAATTTGTGAGCGAAACCCCAAATGGCAGATAACAGATGCTCCGGTGTGTGTTGGTCTCATCCTAGTTCGCGAGACAATGAAGCCGTGTTCCGTCTTCGAGACGGTGATTAGAAATAGTCACCAGTTATCTATGTCCCATGCATTATAAAGTAGGAGTCAATGAATAAACATAGTAGTGCGATAGAGAAGAGGAAGAGCAGAAGAACAGGATGTGCATACATTTTATAACCGATCGGCTGATCACTATTAAGAAATAAGAGTAAACAGATAAGTTTCTGATACTTCGAGTTGGACAACTGGTTACAACCACAGAGCTGGTCTATCATCCCAAAAAATCTATGAAATACGGGCCTTCGGCAGTCGGTACAAAAACCATGAACTGATCAGTCGTTCGAGGCGCAAAACTATTAAACGTGGTCAAAGCATAATTGCACTTGTAGCACAACACACCCTATTCAAGCTAGCGAATTATCCGACCAATATTTATGTGGCCTATTCAATGTGGATTCTGCACAGATAAACTTGATTTTACCACCGGGTCACACTCGATTGCCTAAACTGTATCAGACTTGAACCGCAAGATATACATAAGATTATCCAGTGCACAAAATTATCCCATTTCGGTGATCAAGACAATACTCCCTCAGTGATTGCGAAAGTCCACGGAGACGACATCTCCTTGCCAATGTCGAATATGTTCAATGTGCTGTGAGTCCGATCCCCGTGCCAGCTCAGTGGCAAGTAGCCATAGTTGTGTCGATACATAAAGACAAGCTCCCTGTTCGAGACTAAGTATTGTCGCCAGTAACATATCAAAGCGACATATCAAAGCTAGTACGGTCGAGTTCCTGTTGTCGAGAAAGATAACAAACAATCATGAGCACGGCGCCTTTATTATACGGTTCATTATAACGTGCCAGCTGGAATTTCTAAACGATCTAACTGCATCATATGACCTAAGTACGTCACCAACACTAATTCACCTCGACACACAAGAGGCCTTTGATCGGATGCTTCATGGAAAAGTTATGTCTAAAATGGTATTCTACAGGATCGAAGAACAAATGCTTTTTTGGTTCAGGTTGGAGTTTAGAAATTGAACGCAGGTAATAAAAGTTCAAGAACAAAAATCTGAGTATACAATTGTTAGCGGTGAGGTAACACAGGGAAATGTCTGTGTCGCTAGTATTCCTAAATGTGCTAACGATATCCTCGACGTATTGAAATTTGGTACACCATATCACTTTGTTGATGACATTAAAATTGTATACACTCTCCGTCAAGATGATGCTTCCAAGGATGTTGTCAACATGACGCAACTCGACCTCCATGCGCTTGAAACTTGGTGCTCAAAGTGGAGATTTATGTGCAATAACTTACAAATGCGAGTTGACTCATAGTGTCCTGAGTCTTGACGTCAAACCAACTAATCTCTACAGTACGATACGGAACCTGGGACTGTGATATGTATGCTTACTTGACTTCTGTGACCAAGTAGTGTAGGCGAAAGAATTACCACGATAACCGCAGCCTGCATGTCAAGATCATAGTCAGATAAACACACCATCTGCGCCTTCTGCCGAGATCCCGGATAACCCATTATTTGTCTACTCCATGTGATTAACTATGCAAAGCGCCATGTTTCATTGCAACGCACACCATGGTAACGAGTCTTGTACCCGATAACCTTATCTGACACCTGCTCCTACGCGCTATGGTGCAATTCAATGTTTCCTAACCATGTCTACGGGGTTTCATCCCAACCCCGCTGCAAGATACGATCGCGCCCATACCCATACCCGTTGTGATGAATGTGAACTTCCGCCGCGTGCTACTAGTCCAAAAGGTACACAGGTGCTTGTTATGTTTGTCTTGCTCCTTGTAAATTCCCACTCGACATGGACTTGCTCTCATCCCAAACTCGCCGTGACGAGTGTGCACTCCCACCCCGTGCAACTAACCCCAAGGGCACTCAGGTCCTTGTTGGTCTTTGATCCCATATCCGCATCTTGGATCTTCCTGTGCGCCGTGCCGCAAATCAATAGGATAAGATATCGGACACCTTAAAAAGAATCCTCGTATTCCTCTCTTTGAATCTGTGCTGTATGACCTTGCTGTAAAGTAGCAAGTGCGCTGGCGCTATTTCATCGTGTAACTGTACGAAGACCCGGTTGTTTCATGACTGAATGGGCACTGTTGAGGCATGTAAATATGTATATGAGCTTTATTTTGTTTAATATTAACGTAGTTAACGTCTCGGCTTCCTTTCTTGGCTGGACCCGGGGGTTTTTACGAGTCACTCGAGCCCCAAGCGAATTTGTCGTACACAAGGTCACGTTATCGCGAGGGCATTGATAATTATGATTTTTTCTTTACAAGTCGTCGATCGGTGTGTCTTTTGGGACCGTCTGTTGAGGAAAGGTGTGCCTGATAAATACGAAAACATTATCAAAGCGCTGTACACGCATAGTTCGGACAGAGTGAGGGTGTATGGCAAACCGTGTCCACCCTTCACTATCACCAGCGATGTGAGACAATGTTGCCCGCTGTCACCTTTCCTAGCTAACTTCGCAGTTGACGAAGTCATGGAGACAGTATCCGCTGGACAAGACCTAGAAGGCGTGGAGCTACTTCCTGTGAACAACTTCTTGACTTGGAGTATGCGGACGACATTGCCATTAGACGTGACGGAGGCTACATTAGAATTAGAACTGGCTATCAATCGTTTTGGGCTACGCTTTGCTACATCGAAATTTAATGTCCTCGTCCAAGATTGGCAGGGACCCACCCATGCACTGATTTTTGTTCATGGTCCACATCAATGAAGTACCCCCGCTTCTTCGGTCGCCTTGTGCCATGTTTGCAGACGACCTGAAGAATTAGACAATAATTTATGCTCCCGACGGCCGTGAGGTATTCCAGTGTAGCTTCGACTACATGTCTAAGTAGTCCACAAATGCTGATCTACCTGTAAACTTAATCAAATCGTCATTAATGAGCCAGGAGAAGGGTGCTGTTGAGCGAATGTACACAGTGGCAGACCAACCGCTACCCCACACATTGTGTGAAGGAGCTGTGCGTACTCACACGCTGCGATCTAAAGTTCGTAGACAAAGCGAACAAGCTATATAAAAATGGACTGCGCATGCTATGGGCGTCCTAACGCAGTTTCCACCTCTTCTCTTCCATCATAAGCGCGATGCTCGAGTACGAATCACCCGCCTATTGTCCGATAGCCGATGGCGAGGTGTAAAAACGAACGTGTTCAGCATGTGATTACCATGCTCATCCGAAGGTTTCAGGGTATGTCGTACGAAGACCAATACAGACGACTGGGGCTGTACACACCCCCTGTCATATCGTCGGTTTCGAGTGGACCACCATATGACGTACCGGATATTGCATATGGGTCACTACTCCATGTTGAGGCCGCTGCTACACATGCGCGCACTAAGCAGCACTCGCGGGCACCGGTACACGCCTGTGGTATCGGATCTAAAGCAGATAGCCCACTATACTTCGAGCGTCGAGTGGTGAAATACTGGAACGGTTTGCTCTGAAAAATAGTCGAGATCAAATCGGTGTTTTAATTGAGAAAAGCCCAAGAAGCCTATTTTGCTGAGTCCAAATTCAGCGAGTGCACGGCACCCGAACGGCCTATAGCATAGCTGTAATACGCAGCAAAAGTGCAGGAATAAGTGACGTGATTCTGCGCACGTGCCCGAACTAATTATGATGGAGCAACAAAGACGTGTCTACTAGCTTACTATGTTCACCATTCAGTATTAAACTAATCGCATCCCCAGGTTTCACTGACCTATCACATTTATCTTAATCTTGTAATTGTATTGCCTGAAGTGAAGTGCCGAAAAGTGCTCTGATCGCATGCGTCGTTTCATATTTCTTAACTGTAAAATGATGAACAAGGTATTCCGAAGTTTCATAACAACAAGCCAATCGTGCCAGTAGGGTCTAGGTCTTAGATGATCCGATAGTCACCATAGTTTTTAGTATAAGGTGTTTTATAATAAAATATGTGGGAAAGTGATTAAAGGTCAGCCAGCAACAATTCATTTCAGTCAAGCATTTTGTGTGCCATTGCTGTGCTTCCGAACGTCCTTATCTGAATTGCGTGTTATTTTTATTTATGCATCTGTGATAAACGCTGTATACAAATATACTTTTACTAGATCATGCCGATGCAAATGCATCCCGTGTTATCGAGGATAAGTGATTTTTTATTAATTTTTATAATTCGACAAAACCATGAACAAAACAATGGTGCCATTAGCGGTAGACAGTAGGGGGTCAAATGTGGCTGGTCTGCGGATGAACCAGTGTCAGGTAAGATGGCGGATGAATAAGTTGACCAACCGAGAGATCATGAAAGCGAAGCAACCTCAGTACGTACACTAAGTCAGTTGTCTGGGGGGAAAACATATCCACTATGCAATTTTCTAATGTGGGAGCAGTTAACAAAAAAGAAATTGCACTTACTTTTTCAGTAGGGACCGAACTAAGTTGTTCGGTATCGAGAGACTTGGTGGGCGCGGACGAGTGGGGAGCGTTCTCAGCTAGTAAGGAGTCATTTGGTACCGCGGTCTCATGCACGAACTGTTCACGAGCCTGTTGATGTAGTCGCAGTGCGGTTAACTTCTCGTGCAGCTCAAACGCATCAAAATGACTGCTTCGGGATTTCAGCGGGCTGAAGCATTGAAAGTGAAACGGCTAGCTACAGTCATGCAAAGAAACGATAAATTCGTGTTACTGATTGTTTAACTAGTAGCACGATAAATGTCTTGATCACATGCAAAGCACGCATGGCGGTCAGGCATTAGTGGATGTGATAAAAGCGTTGCTATAAACGCTAAGTAAATGGGCACATTCTATTGTGTTTCGTGTCTCACATTTGGCATGTTGGCTAGTTCACCGTGGAACAGAGCGGGTGGGAAAACGACCCACATCAAAGCAAACTGTGTTGCAAAAATGTGCACACTAACAGACACGTTGTGAAGTGCAAACGGCACACGACAAACGGTAACTAAAACGTCATTAAGCACGCAAGCCGATACAGAATATATGGCTTCGATTGTGTTTTTCAACGTGGTTCCGAGCGTTAGGCACTAAGTCCCGCTGCGACAACGAATTGAATAACGTTTCATGGCTATGGGATGAACCAAAAAGTTATTGGGGGAAGTAGAAAACAGATTGAACTGGATAGCAAAGCCTGAAGATGAGTTGAATCCGAGCAGATCACATTTAAATATAGTTGAGATAAATACAAACGTAAAAAAGACAGGGATATGATACAATCAGGTAATTTTAGTAAATTCGTATATAAAAAATAAATAAATAAGTGGTTTGTTCTGGAGAGTTCGGAGAATGACCGCAAATGCATGGTCATAGAAATACACACACGAATGATCGATAATTACAACAACAAAATTACAAGATAAACAGTAAGATCCTGGGTTTATGCATATATATATATGCTATTTAATTAAGGTTTATGTCACCATTTCCTTATGCATTAATCGAGTTTTTCTCTTTTTCTTTCTCTCTCTCAAGTGTTTGGCTGTTGTTTGATATCCCCGGTGTGGTTGCGCTTGATGTGCATGTTGACAAGGTGCCTACCTGTCTATTACCCGCTACCTCGTCCATACTGGCTCCAGGAGACGATTGGTCGTTGCTGGAGGGGACAGGGTGCACGGTCCTTGTGGCCGTGTTAGGATCAAAGAGTGGTTCCATGCAGTCAGTGTGGAGCGGACTACGGTCCAGCCACCGCCTTGTGTGCGCTTGTTTTCCCAAATACAGCGTGCTTGTGTTTGCCTGTGAAGAAGTGTGGGCCGGCTCCGTTGACGAAACGTGGCTCCCATCCACATGCCTCCCGGTCTTGTTCCTTCGGGTTTACACTGGATATGGGTTGTGTGGTTGGAGCTGTGGGTGGTGCAGCGCAAGCCACCTATGGTCCCACTGAAGGCGCAGGCGTCCTGTGGCTGGCCACAGTGACAGGCAAATCCGAAACCGGATGCCGCCAACCATATGGGTGTAGATGTAAGTAAGCATGTTGAGTGAATTTGTTAATGCAACCCTGAATTTGCGATTTTGTTCAGTGAATTCGCAAACATAGAAAGACATCGAAGAAACGGTTCGAAGTGGATGAAGTTCGCGAAGTGGATAAGATCCTCCGGTAAGACAAGAGGCAGTGACCTTATGTAGTAGCGAGTCACATCCGCCACATCATAGTGTTGCTAAACAGACATAAATGATACGGAAACAATTCAGCCCACGGAAAACCGTGTGTGGTCCGCTCACTAATTCAGCAAAGGGTGCTCCAGTATAACTAACACATCGACGGAAAAAGCAACAGATATAAGCGTAAGAATAAGCCATAAGTGTAGCTGATGTCACTTCGTACTGCGAAAATACGGACAGTCGTCTGGCAGCCTGGTCCCCATACACGACTGAGGTCCACATGAGAGTGACTAGCTCACAAGTCTAGAATTTTCAATCAAGTTGCAGTCTTTTTCTACATTAGAGGTAGCGAGGTTTCGAAATGGTCAGTTTAGTGCTGCAATAAAATACGGCGGATAAAGAAGGGCAAACCACCTGTTACCCCTACACCTATCTCAATCCCTATCAGTAACCTTCCTACAGTTCACAGTGTAACTGCAGCTGCGGCAACTGTGGATTTCTGTCACTTGGGGCTATATCCGCAAACTGCCCATTGGTCTCCTGTTATCGAAAGCGCCAATCAAACCAAACGGTTTCTCGGGGGTGCATCCAATCGTCTTACAAAGGCGGGCTGCTGCATAGGCTGTGTGCATGTGAAAACCGGATAATCTTGATACTGCTGTGTGTTGCTTCACCAAAATAAGAACTCGTGACTATCAAGCAGTAATCGAGTGGAACGCACTCAACATACTCTCTCCTCCTTGGTTGCACGTGTTCAGATTTGTTAATACAGTGATCACATGTCGAGGTGGAGTGGGTATCGTCCAAAGCTGTCCTTGCGTAGCCCGTTTGACAACAAGGATGGTTCGGGCGATATCGCAGTTAGATTTCTATCCATTATGGTCAGCTATTGTCCCGCATTGTTCAGTGTCAGAAGCTGCTGGTCAGTGGTGCAAGCTACTAGGGGCCAAGGTTCAATCTACTGAAGTGGACCGAGAGAATGCGCATCAATGATGAGTCACAATGTGGTGAAACGATCGTGCGGTGCTTTTCCGGACCGCTAGCTGACTTTTCTGACTTGTAATCTAACTGCGATGAACTAAGTAAAATAATACAAGTTAGCACAGCCAATAGCCTGCGCCGCAACGCTCATGTTCCCAAGCAGGTCACCCATCGGCCAGGCAGCACGCTAGCACGCAGTGCTACCAGCTCATATGCATATGTTGGGCCTATGGATACGCAAGTAAGTCATCTAAGCCACTCAAAAAGTTTGGTATATGGTGCATCCAGGTTTAATCTAGAGAAACTGAGCAACGATGACTACTTATTGCAAACGCATATGAATAATCGCCTGCTTCTGAGCCGCAGTACCTTCGGATAAAATGAGCACCGATGGGTCACTTAGTGTCCTCCGGCCGCCAGCCAGCAATCGATCATGGTGGATCTCATAGCCAGGTCTAGTTGCTTTCCGGAGGTCGCTAGCGCCGGTAGAATTTTGAAGAATCTGTGTAAGTGGCCCTTAAAACCAGTCTGTGTGTTGTACAAGTCTGAAAGGCACTGTGGTCGGTTGATTCTGGGACAACCATCCAAGTACCGATGTATGATGGACCCAGTTGCTGTGACAAGCGCTATCATTGGAGTACAATGAAAATGACGATTGGCAGAATCATGCAAGATAACAAACAGGCATGTAAATTCATCGAACAAGAAGTGAGTGTACACAAACGACTCACTGTTCACTTGACTGCGTTGTCGAACAATGTCTCTGATCATCCGTGTGACCAAATCCGAAGCAAGCGTGCGTACGGGTCGCACAGACTAGACGAAGTTGTTCAGTCGATTCAGCAGTGTCTTTTATCACGTCATCGGTTGGAGAGCCGGAGGCTTCACCCAAGAGGGATGGGCAGTTCAAGTGCAAAAGATGGTATAGTACAGACCGCTGCTAAGCAGTAGCAACTGTTTTATAGCTGAACACTAAAGGTGGACCAACAATGGTAATGATATCCGACGACGGGGATAAACTTAAACCCAAAAAGGCCGCAAATAACAGAGGGGTGGAAAGATAGGGAAAATGGCTTGATGCTACGGTTTCCGGATATCAGAAATATTGCCTCAAAACGGAGATAATTCTTCGGAATACGCTCATGCTTCAATGAGGTGAGACTGCAACGTCGTTGTTTCTAAGTTCTCTAAAGTTATAAGTCTCACTACAAAAGACCTGGTTTGAAAGTAACCAACTAAGTAAAGTTACCCAAAAATCCGATCCTCAGAGTGACTGCCAGAAAAGATGCGCATTTTGCTGGATTCACTGCATTGTACTCCTAATGTTGTATGTTGTGTCCACTTGTGATGGTAACTGAAGTCATTTGCAATGAAAAACCAAGATCGAGCTATGCTCTCCAGATACAAAGTTGTTTTATGAAGTCCACTCAAGTAAGCGGGAGAGATCGATTCCGTCCCATTCACTGAGGACATACCAAATCAGACACCCTGATTCCAGATTGTCTTACGGATGGTGCGTTGCTATGTGTTTCACGTACTCCGAGGTACCATGGCTTGCTCATAATAATTTCCAGACTTTTTGAGTGTGTTTTGAAATTTGGACATACGCAGTATTGTTATCTCTGTTTTAGACAAAACAAACTAAAAATGGTGGAACACACTTAGTTTTGGTGATATACGCTTAAGGAGTTTCTTGCCAGTGGAGCAGTGGACGGCTACGCGTAGCCCACAATAAACAAAACACGAATGAGATACGTGAGGAACGCGGCCGGTTCACCGGCTAGTTTGTAAAATCAACTGTTTTAAGCGGATGCAGATTCGACCAAAGCGGCTTGCAAGCAGTGGACTGGTACCAATCAGCTCGCCAGTCGTGTGGGCCGATCTCCGTCGTGGATTGTCCTGGCTTTTAGCTCGAAGCTTGAAAAGCCCAACAGTGTGTAAGCTGAAGCTGCGCAGTTGGAGGATGGAATGGAAGACGTACTTTGTTGGTAACACAATTCCGGCCCAATAATACCGTGAAGAATGTATACCCTAGAACAACAATTCGGGATCCACTAGAGATGTAACACGCAGATGTACACAGCAAGTACTGGATTGGAGGATGATTTTGAAGTACTCATTGCCTTAGCAGGCATCGAACGTGATGAGATCAAAAAAGTTCGAAACTGGCCGTGGAATGCAGTGTTTTCGGGCAGGCAGCACGTGATTCAATTGGCCACGGTTCACTTCAGTGGAAATCGTGGTCCACAATGGGATTGTGCGATGCAATCCATTCACACGAGTACCTCAAAATGACTCAGTCACTATGTGTGGTAGCAAGCGTTTTTCGTCATAGTTCGGTAACCAAAGGAATAGAGGTTTCGGCTAACATTCCAATGGTCTCCTGTTCGATGCCTGTTATCACTACCTGATGGGAGCAAGTACTGCAGTTATATGAAATTCATGCAAGATGATAAAACAGGATAGGCACCGTATAAATCCAGCACAAGCACTCAAACAAAGATGGAGAGTTGAGACTAGAGTAGAAACTCAGTGAATTCCAAAGTTAAACCTAATCGGCACATATATGAACATCATTCGAAACGAAATGCTCTAGGCAATACATGGTGTAGGTTCCAGAACTGTACACAAAGGCGTTGCAATTCAAAACAACTGGTGCATCGTGATCGGTGGCTTGATGGAGTGTTGCATGGCGGTTGGTAGGCCACACGAACGGGAAGGACACGGGGCCAGTGAACGGAGAGCTAATCGAGAACTGTCCGGTTTAGTCAATGGGCCAAGTAATTGATGGAACATAGTGAACGAATAGCGAGCGCAAGTATGTGAAACTGAACTAACAGCACAGGACGCGAAACAAGAACGAGTTTAGGAAAATGAAAGACAACGACACAGGGATTTAAATTTTTGCACAGCACAAATTACCAGTCTGTTCATGAGGAACCGATCTTAGACCAGTGCCCAGAAGGGCTACACGATACTTACATGCGTACGGCATTCGCAGTGAAAAGTTACGACTGTAAATAGATTTAGGAGTGAATTGCAGACTCTATTTGTAAAGTCGAAACTAATCCAAACAAACGCAGTTGTCTAGGTGCAGTATAGGGTTTAGCGATTAGCCCAACATTGAAAGGTAGCAAGGTAAAGCTCGGAGTTTGACGAGCATCGTAGAGTGGCCAAGATTCGACAACCTAGCGGCACTCCATAGGCGTACATAGTGGGACGCCTTGCAAAAAGCTACGAGATTTCCGCGAAACACTCCTGCAACACGCGCAAAGGTACTGCAGAAATTCGGAAACAACCCGCAGTCAGATCAGGTGCGATGGTAACTGGAGGCGGAAGGACAAACGAGGACATGCCAACGCTCTGCATAATCAATGATTACGCTTCAAAGGAAGACAGTTCACTAGGGACTACCGTAATCAATAAAAGAACAGGACCTGTGTGGAAAAAATATGCATAAACCAAATCCCGATTACGAATCAATAGGAATAGGATTGCAAAACTAAGAAACACATGACTAGAAACAAGTGTTAAGGATTGCAAAATAAAAGCAGCAAAATAATCAATAGGATCTTTGAACAACAATAAAAAATTGCATGTGAAGCAGGAAAAAAATAATGATCAAAAAAATGACGCATGAGCGATGTTTTAGGGGAAGTTGGAAATTCATGTCACCTTACCCTGGCAATTGGAGTTCCCCGTCGATGAGCGGGCAATTGTGTCTGGCCAAGGAAAGCAAACGCACTAGGTTCGAGCGGTCCGCCGGATTCACGCAACGTGACGCTTCGAATAAGTCGGCCACACGTTGACAATCATGCCATTCGTCATCGAACACTTGCACAAATGCCTGTTGCATGACAACACACCAAAACGCATAGGTGAAAAAAGGCGGTACAGATGGGCACATAGAATTAGTCAAACAAAAACAGACAGATAACAGCAAGTAACAGGGCCAGCTTAGCAAGTGCAGAGTCGAAACAGGGGGCGACGTTAAGGTGTGCAGTAGGTGAGTGAATTTGCGCCAAGTGATCTCGACGTCAACCAGGGCGACGTAGGTAAGAGAAAGGAGATTAAGCAAAAATATTTACAAACCATCGTAGTGACCATAAATCATACTCGGAGCAAATATACTTAGGCGCAAAAAATGCTAGATAGAAATTGCAAATAGATGTGGTCCGCGCAAGACGGTGAAAAATTCAAAAAGGCCCAGAGTGCGAGTGCTAAGAACTGAGAAACCGCACGAATCCGGATGCGGGGAGTTCAGAGGAATCACTTTGTGGCAGATAAAATAATTACTAAGGCAACCAAGATCTCGTCAATCCCAATTAACAGGCTTAGGTTAGTCTGGGAAAGCGCCAGACGCCGGCGTTTCGACCTTCTGGGTCTCGTCATTGGTGCATCTCTCAGCGGCCTGCTGCCGGGTACCGCCCGTATATCGTACATAGAAGCCACGCGGAAAGTCCTATCTTGTAAGGCTAACCAAAGTCCTTTACACAGTTCGTAACTGGCATGCCAGTGGAAGATGAGCCGGGATATATTATAGTCAACTCTCAATCATGCAGGTCCCCGGCTGTCACCCATGGAGAAGTGGCACGAGTTGATGGCGTGCTGAAATTATAGGGCGGAACCCGGCGTGGGGCCGCTGCGAAACGCATCAATGACGGGACCCAGTAGGTCGAAACACCTGCCTCTGGTGCTTTTCCTGACTAGTCTAACCCTGCTGATTGGGAGACAATGATGAGTAAGCTGAATTATACCAAAATCCTCTCTACTACTCGTCAGCATTATAAAAGCTGTCCGTATAGCTTCTAAGTTTTATGTCGTACATCAGCGCTATACGGAAAGTCCTATCTCCTGAGGCTAACCGCGGTCCTCTGAACAGTTTGTAACTCGTATGGCAGTGGACGATGAGCCGGGCTATATCATAGTCAACTGTCAATCACGCAAGTCCGCGGCTGTCACCCATGGCGAAGTGGCACTAACTGCTGGCATCCTGAAGTCACAGGGTTCGGAATCCGGTAGAGGGCCGCACACTGAGGAGACCCATAAGGTCGAGACGTCGGTGTCTGGTGGTTTCCCAGACTAAGCTAAACCTGCTGATTGGGAGTGACGATGAGGTATAAGCTAAATTATACCAAAATCCCCACTACTGCTCATCAGCACCAACATTCACAACCAAATGGTTAGAATTGAAGAGAATATGTAAACAAAACACTAGTAATAAGGACAGTAGTGTGCGTGTGTATGTCGATGTGAAAAACGAGCAAAAATGATTAAATTTAGTCAAAAATCAAACCACCAGTATGAGTGCTGTAGGGAGCGAGTAAGTGCTATCAAACCAAAAGAGTTATATGCAATTGCTTTTTTCTCATTAATCGGTGTAAATCCATTCACAGTAAACAGCTACACAAAAGCTAATAAACCTCCTACTACTTACAAATAATCAGTAGTCATCTTAGCAGCATACTTGCCACCTCGACTGGTGGCGGTTTGTAAAGAAGTCGAGGCTCTGGGGGCCAGCCCTGTCCTCTGCACATTCATAACAAGCAAGACAATGGAGGATGACCCGCACTATATCGCAGTTAGATATCAGTCATGGCGGTCCGCTGCCGTCGCACATGGCACAGTGACATAAGTCTTTGACTCGCAAGAGTAAGGTCGTGGGTTCGAATCCGGTAGGATTCGGCGGGTGCGCGCTACTGATGAGTCCCAATAGGACGAAAAGGCCGTCTAGCGCTTTCCTAGATGTGTGGTGGCTGTCTGTCTGTGTCTAACTGCGACGAATCTACACAAAAGCATTCCATGGACTAACTAGCTGAGAAGTATACTTGCCAATGACAGGAGAATCGGTAATTACAACGCAGGCTACATCATTGAATGCGATGCGATAACGACTCACAACAAGCCTAAGAAACCAATTTATATTTAACCATGTGAAATTTTTCTCCAAAATATTGACTATAGTATAGGGAAGCATGAGGATCACACAAAACTTTCTAGCGAACAGCACACCGTAATAGGCAGAGGTGCAGGACAAGAAATATCTACTGGGCGGATGCTGTAACCGGATGAGCGAAAAAGAGTGGTTGATTTTGGTCATAAATAACTGCAGCCACTGAGGAAACCATACGGAAGTAAGTCAGCTGAAGATCATATGAACCAACTGCACTAGCTTGACCGTTTTCTGTGTGTCCCAACCGACAACCCAGGATACTGCGACTTATCAGGCGAAGCGTAAACAGAAAGTAAGAAAGGGAAAGAAAGAATATGTCAGTCGAAACGATCAATGCCGTGGTGCTGGGTACAAGAATCGAAGTGAGTTCTACAGCGCCTTCATGGATTCAACGGCAGTGTTGTAATCAGTCTCACGAATCTAGTCATTGATGTTACTGTCGAAGACCAACTTTTCCAACCACTAATCTGTGTTTCACTAAAGTGCCTAATTACAGTAGAACCTAGGAAGTTAACCATCTTTATAAGTTGACCGATCTTTCATGGATTGAATGTTCGTTATTTAAACCATATGGAACCAGACCCCCGTATGTTTACCACCTCTGTAAGTTGTATGTTGACCACTTGGGCCACAACTGTCACTACTAATTTAGCCGCTATAAGTTGACCATGTGAAGATCTGCTGTGCAATGGTCGCCGACCGTTTGTTTAACCAACAACGTGTTTAGCAGGATTTTGCAATGTGCGAAATTCTTCTGACCCACAACCACTGCATTTGACGGCTTCGCAGGTTCTCTGTCTGTGTGTGTGCGCACGTGCCTCTGGCTCGCGGACTGCGACCACAGACGAACCTTACCGCTGTTGTGCGAAATCTTTCCACACACAACCACGTAACAAGCCTACCTGAAACATGTGACCACGCACTGCGCAGGTCAAATCAGGAGTTTGAGGGCCCATCTAACCAGTTCTAAGCGAACCAATTCAAAATGTGTTGATTAGCGTCTTGGATCGAAGTGACATTGAGGTTTACGTCCATTGTTTGCTAAACGCTAATCTACGAAATTTGTTGTCAACCTGAGAGCGCAAACAATAAGGGCTTGTTGTTGTGTGCAATAGACTTTCTGTGAATAACACATTAGCTCTTGGATCCACTCCGTGCAATTCGGGATCGGCTATTACATCTATTGGAGCATTATGGCCCAAAGGAAAGACCTAAGTTAGCGCTGAAGGAGAAGATTAATCTGCAGCAACCAAAGAAAGACGGCAGAACAGTTTAGTGTTAGCAAGACAAGGATTAGGAACATCCAACAACATAAGCATGAGTAGTTGGAGGGATCGGATAATGAAAGAGATTTGCGGCGGAAGAGGCGGGAAACTTCACATGATGGTCAGTGAAGTTAAGCTGCTTTGGTCCGAAGAAATGGGATCAGTTAATGCTCGGATCTTCGGACCGATGATACAAGATACTGCTAAAAATGTTCACAAGAAATTGGGGTTGCAGATATTTAAGTATTCAATGATTGGCTAGAGAAATTTAAACTGCAATATAGCATTTACCAGAGTCTTTTGTGGTGAGTCCAAAGAATTTCCTAAAGAGTTTATTTAACAATTCACCGAAAATTATGCCGAGTTCAGCAAGGGTTTCAGTGGGGGTGACATTCGTAACGCTAACGAGTGCAGTCTCTTTTACAAAGCGACGCATTGCAGTAGCCATGTGATAAAGGGTGATCAATGTGAGAACGGAAAGTATTCCAGAAGACGTTTTACAATGATGTTGTGTGCTAGCTCAAGTGGAGAGAAGCCTTTGGTCACTGGTAAGTCAGCTAGACCATGTGTGTTGAACAAGCTGAGCCCTAAAAACTTGCCAGTCACCTGGAGATCAAACAAACCTGTATGGGTGACTGCTGTTATATTTGAAGAGCGAATGAGAGAAATCGACCGAGAAATGATGAAGAAGAAACTGACGGTGGATAATTGTCTCAGTCACATTCATGTCGATAATCCCACGAAAATTACACTAAACTTTCAGCCTACAAATTGAACCTCAGCCATTCAATCTTTGGACCAAGAAATCATCAAAATATTCAGAAGGAATTACCTAACACAGCTCATGCCAGGGGCTATATCAAAAAATGAATCCTAATGATCTGCATGGGGCAAGAACTTCATCTACCGCTTCAGTTAATGCTTTGGATGATGCGTGTTTTGGATAAGTTCCCCTAGGCACAAAGTCCAGCCAGAAACAATACAGAAGAGCTTCAAGGAAGCTGGATTCGTTCAAACTCTCGAACAGGACACTGTTGGTTTGAAAGACATTCCAGTTCTCATTAACGATTTTGAGGGAATATATTTTCAAGAGTTTGTTGAAATGGATGATGAATTGGCAATCCACTAAACCGGACCCAAATGCTATTCCCTAATTGATACTGACTGCAGTACGCCCCTACGGGAATAAACAAAACGCACCTGATGATGAAGAAGAACGAAGTGAAGATGACATGAGAACTACAGGAACCCCAAAAGTGACTGATGTTGGGCATCTTTTAATGCCATTGAAAGCGTTTGCTGTGTGAAAATGTCCAAGCATGCTGAGATCGCTTTGTGACAAAAGAAAGAAACAGACAATGCTTGACTTGTTTCAAGAAATGATTTAACCTGCGAAATGCACACTGTGTTTTGATTTATGGTTGAACCGCGTTTGCTGTTAGGTGAGACCTCGTCTAATGTGTTCGAAACGAGTCTATGTGAAAATAAATTTATACTATACTCTGCAAAACAGGAAAGTAGGTTACGCATAGAACCTCTATATGTTGACCAATTTGATCCAGTCCCTTGAGTGGTTTTAACGTATTGATAAGTCATGATTTCAAGTGAGGCTTACGTTAACCGCATCTTGGCATACACACCCCAGTTGAATAATCAAGTCACGCAGAGGACATTGAGCAAAGACATTTTCGCATATTCAGACCCTCATGACGTGCAAAGGACTTTCAGTGTCATCCACAGAGCTCGAAGCCAGCGAATGGAAACTGCATGCAAAGTTGAAATCGAAAAACTCCCGAGAGGAAATGTGACAACCCAGTAAGAATATGGTGCAACGAACAAACACATGGGCGATTAGCGCATCGAACTCCAAGTATTTAGTTGTTAGTAAAGTTATTGCGGTTAGTATATCAATGTTACCAGTCTTTTTGTTAAATTATGTGAAGTTGCCTTGATTATATAGATGATCTTGAAGCGCGTATTTCGCTCTATCAGTAGTGAGAGGTCGGTCAGGAAACATGCATTTACACTTTTATAAAACGTTTAATGTGACATGGACACCAGATATATTCGCATAATTTGATTATTTCAATTTGGACATGGTCGACATGCACCGGAAACAGCTCGTGACATCAGCAGTGCATTTAGTCCCAAAAAATTTCGAAAGTGACGAGGGTCTCGAACATGAAGAACGTTGTGGACGGCCATCGAAAGGCCTTAGCTAAAGCAGATACGTGTAGAACTGTACGAGATTTTCTTCCTGGCTTCGCGGTATCGTGACAGTTTGTAAACGTTTACTAGTGATTACAATGTCGAAAACGATTGAAAAGCGGGTGCCGCAGAGGAAATGGTCGTTTTGCACTTATTCTGCGCAATGAAAACGACACATTTCTTAACCGGTATTTGACATGCGATAAGAAAGTGGATTCTTTAAGGGAATAAATGACACACCGCATAGCGGTTTGACCACGATCAAGATCCCCAACACTTCATAAAGCCGAGATTGAATCCAAAAATGGTTATAGTGATTGTTTGCTGGTCTGTGTCTGGTCTGATCTTTCAGACCTCTGAATCCAGGCGAAACCATTACAGTGGCGAAGTACTGTCAACGAATTACCGAAATATATGGAAAACGTCAACATGTGTATCTGGCACTGGTCAACAGAAAGGGGCAAATTCGTCGCCACCATAATCCTCGGCCGACGTCGCACAACCAACCTACCAGAGGCTGAACGGGTTGAGCCACGAAAAGCTGTCTCACTCAACACACGTTCGCAAGTACCTAAACAGCATGCTTTGAGAAAAATGTTTCAGAAATTAAGGATACGTTAAAATCACATTCGACGAGTTCATCGCCACCAGAACTCCAGGATTGTATGCATCCGACATAAAGAAAATTGTTTTCCGTTAATGAGGATGCGTCAATTCAGATAAAATTTATTTCTATTTAAAATGTTTCGTGTGAGCCAAGATATGTGCATCCGAATACTTAGATTAAAAGCTGTAGTAACTTTATCAAAAACCTGATAGGGGGGACAGGACGTTGCAGATAACCCTAAAGTTAAGCGTCGACTTTGATGGCACCAAAATGTGACACTAAGGCTGTGCTGAATAAATCGGCCAGTTATGCATCATCGCGCAGTGCTGTGACTACGCAGAAGCCAGAAAGCGATTCCATGGAAGTGCATGCTTCAACTGATGAAAGGAATGGGGATGCGGAAAATAAACAACCAGAGAAATGTGGCATCAACAGAACGTGAGAAAGGGAAGTGTGCACGTGTGCACAGTCCTCAGACTCAGTTCCCCTGGGACGACCTACAGCATTCTCATCATGGTGAGCTGAAACCTCATGGCTGTGAAAAGTAAAGGACACTGAGCACAGCACAATATGCGCGGTTGCAATCAGGATAGTTTGCGATGGATACTCCAAAGTGAGCTGCAGTATATGGTAACATTCATTCAGATTGAGCGTCGGGAAGCTAAAGCAAGCAGATACGCAGTTTTGGTATGCGATCGGCGCCAGAGCACCAGTCACGTACACCGCCCGATTCAATGCAGCTGACCGCATTACGACCAACTGGATTCCAATGTCGAGTCAAGGCGAGCAAACTGACAACTTGTCTGTTGTTTGGTTGAGATTTCGAACTTGCGTGAGTAAAAAGCAATTTGCCAGTGAGGGCTAGTGACAATCGTGTCAAAGATAGTGGAAGCTGCGTTGCCTCAATGATAATGGCAGACAAAAATCGAGGTTAATCGCAAGCCCACTAAAACGCCATCAAAACGGACAAGTTGGATCTGCTGGAAAAATATGTGAAACAATTGGTCGGAAGTTCCCACAGCTCAATCGTTTCAAGAAACATCTACACGAACCAAAATGACCGTGTGCTATCACAGTGGTGCGCAATGAGTAAGCAACTGGGAAGCTAACAAAAGTCTTTGACAGAGAGACGGTGATGATAGAGAATCAACCAAAAGAAACCTTCAGTAATACATTATGAAAGAAAATAAGACCAATTAAACGGATGCCCCTGTCCTTATGAGGATAATTCAGCGAAGTGCAAAAGTGTACGTTAGGACAGATTATGGGACGTATTGAAGACAGGGATCAATCTAGACCGATGGAGAGGACTGCAGTGGATCACAACTGTAAACAACAAATCTGCTTGGAATTCTTGAGCAATACGTCTCCCCTGGTATCTTGTCGAAAGAGAAAACGAACAGTAGGAAACAGTACCCTAGAATGTACGCTTCAAGCACAAAGCATCCAGCGTAATCAGCAGTTCGCTCCAATAACCAACAAAGAATAAATCGAAACAGTGGGTGTACAAGGAACGGTGCCTCAATATGTAGCGTATCTATGTGACGAATCAATAGGCGAGAATGGTAAGCCACAGAGAGACGCGTAATATGAAAGTAGCTGATCATGAGTACAGGTCAGAGAAGTTAGTTCGAGTAAACAACTCACAACGATGAGAGTGGTATTCTGGAAAAGAATTCACAGAATAGGGCAATCATACTTGGTCTGCAGCGACGAGAGCTTCATCTAACAAGAGCCAACAGATGGAAGAAATGCAGAAAAATAAGGTCTACACACTCACCTCGCGCTTCAGACGGTCCTCCACAAACCACATTTGCACGTAGACCTGCCACCGACCGGCTCCAATGTAAAAGTACTGGCAGTGTGTGAACAAGGCAGGATACGCCGGAGCCCGGTCGGGAGCAGCCACGTGAATTGTCTGAGGTTCAAAACGCTCGACCGATTCACCAACATTTTTATCATCATCGTCGTCGTCCTCTTCATCTTCATCATCATTGTCATCGTCGTCATCTTCCTCGTCTTTGTCCTCATCTTCAGCCTCATCGTCCACCGCGTCATCGGCCGATTTAGAGTAGCGAGCAAGCGCTCCAAGCCTTTCGGCCGACACCCGGTTATCTTCTGTAGGGAAACCAACTAGAGCGATGGAGCGCCCAACAAGTTCCTGACCAGCAATTTCATCAATCAGTCCTGTCGTTTGAGTGATCTGATTAAGAGCCGGTAGGCTACCGGACTCTTTTAGTTCGCCGGTCAGTCGACGGTCTGGACCCGCGACCGGCTGATCCGCCGCAAGGGAATACTGGGTTTGTGTGGGCGGACTCGATGGAGAGGCTGATGCTCCCATTTGTGCGATAGTAGAAGTCTGTGCATGAATCTGGAGAAAAGATGATGTAGGATAGCTAACGACTAACAGTTGCGGATCTGGAGTATTAATTATATCAGAGCACTGAAATAAAAATGAAGATTTACGGAGAGATCAGAGAAAACTACAAAAAACGAGGATGAACTGCGAACGAGTCAAGGCGTTCGGTTGCAAAAATCCAGTGACCATGCTGAGGATCTATGTGGGACAACATGTTGAGTGTTGGAGAGGAGAACGTAGTGTTGAACGATAACTGAACCAAAAGTTGTGGTTGGCCCCGTAGACCGGATAACATTGCCCGATAGAGGAGGGGATGCAAAATGGAACAGCAGCAGCTTCCAAGCCAAAATGTACTCCATTTGCCCAGAGAAAAGCGCTAGACCGCAGTTTCGTCCTACCGGGAGCAGCCGTTGGTAGTGTACATTCTTAGACTCTATCAGTAACCTAGTCCATGACCAGTGGACACTACCAGCTCCTAGACAGCAGCTTATGGTAGTTGGCCATGAGGGATGGTAGCTGCTTGTCATGACATACAAACTGACTGCGATATAGTGCAACTCATCGCCCACTGCCATGTGTACCCAGCTCCCGCTAGTGGAATTACCTGACTTTCAGGGTCAGTTCTGTCCTATGCAACATTCGTAATGAGTATGGCAGTAGAGGATGAGTTGCGTTACATCGCAGTTAGCTTGTAAGTCATAACGGTCCACTGCTGGTTCCAATGGCTCAGTGGCATAACGTGTCGACCAGCAGTGCAAGCCATTGGTGGTCATGGGTTCGAATCCCGATGGATGCGTACTACTGATGATGCCCTAAAGACTTAAACTGCAGTCTATTGCTGTTCCGAACATGTGAAGGAGTACCTGACTTGGAAGTTACTATGGGGAAATCCCCAAGTGATTATATAAAAAACCCTACTCGTACGTTTAACAAAAATAAGAAACCGTGACGGCTTGGAACTGCGTACAAGTTAGTAAAGGGTGATGACTACAACTACCGACAAATCAACCTAATAACGAAAATGCACAGGGAAATAACCTTTGGTTCTGTTCTCTACATATCCAGTTGCAAGCGAAAATAATGTGGCAAACGAAGGGCACGCGGACCCCCATAGCATTCAAGGAGTTTCAAACTGAGGACAAATTCACCACGATATTGCACACACAGAGTCCGAGCCAAATATAAGTGAGAGTAGGCGGTAAGAGGGGCGCTATGATGAATACTAAAAAGCGGTAGTCAGACGCTGATTATCTTGCAACAATCCAGTGCGGTGCAACGATCTAACCAAACGAGCGAGAAAATTCGATACGACGTAAGCTGCAATCCCGAATGTGCTGAGAACTAGCTTGAAACAACTACCTTAGTACACAATGCAAAGAAAACCATCGCCATTGATGCCGTCAAAAGTGAACTGCACATTCGATATCGCTAATCCTCAAAACTGCGCCCCATTATCAGTCCACAAAGCACATGGGTTCGACAGACAAATCTAAAACAACAAAAGATGGATCTCACAAGATTGAGTCACTTTAGGTTATAAAAATGGGATTGGGACAACGATAGTTATCACACCAATAGGATCAGGAAGATTTCTCCTAGCAAGTGAAAACACAAAAAGCAGTAATTCAGCGGTAGTATCAAAAGTCAATAAAATACAAAATCAAGTTCATATTCCAGACACACTGGAGACGAAGACAAAAGATAAATGACTTACCAGAGTCTCGCACATTTCTAAGTAAATCTCAGAGCCACATATGGGGAATTAGCATCACTCTGCTAGTAGATCCCACTATGGAGACAGTAACGTAGACATGTAGTTGGATACATGTGATTCTAAGCATTAGTGAGGGACATATGAAACCCAGTGGGTCGAACGACAGTACGTAGCATGGGGCGAGGAAACCATCTACGGGATTTCAGTTCGAAGCGATGATTGACTGTACCGAAGGTACTGCAAATATTCGAATGCTTTATGATGCACGTGTTCAACAACTCCAAGAGCAACCTATGTCCTCACGCACCAGGCTCCGATGGTTGGACCACATGATGCACATGCCAGTCCACCGAGTCCCGAGACGTGCGTTGTTTGCGTGCCGGAGGTGTGTATGGACGAAGAGGATGGGAGGCCAAGTGATGACTTGGTCTAGAGCAGTGGTGTTAAACCTTTTGAGTTTGTTACTCACAAAGCGGATTCATTATGAATATTTACCTCCCAGAAAAAGTTTTAGTTTGAGTGATAACTACCTATTAACCATTGCATTTTTGCTCTAAATGACGGAAAACGAATACTATTCATAATTACTTGCGGTCATTCAAATAAAGAAAATATCTATTTTTGTGCAGTTTTTTATTAGACTGATATTGCTTAATTCTAACCACTTCTGGTGTATTTGGTGAGGGTTCGGATAATGCACATCGTAAGTAGTGCTCCAAGTTCATTCGGTTTCTTGCCTTGGTGTGTGATCCATGATCAAACATGAACAGATGTCAGCGGCTTCTCATTCGTTTCAAACACTCCTTCCATGTCCTTCCCGTATGATCGCTTCCCACTACTACGCTGTATCGATGCGTCCTGAACACGAATCGCCTGCTTCGTCTCTTGTAAACATTCGTCCGCTACTTTACCTGGTCAGCTGATCTATGCTCCCATCGTAGTGTTCACCCAACTCTGGAATTCGACCGACCGACCGAACGACTGCCTGACTCAAAAGGGCGACGATTGGCGAGTGAGTAAAGAGAGGCGCCATGTAGCTGCACTACTTTGCAAGCTTGTATTCGCATTCAAGGTTATAAAATTTACTACTGGAATTTGTCTAATTCACTGTCCAATCACTAATGATTAGTCACCGATCGCCAATCAATAACGATTAAGTAGTCAGTTATATGTTTTGATACAGATGGTTTCGATTTTAATTTTGTTTGGCGACAGATTTATGAACCAATCTTCGTATTCATATTTACCCAGTAAAATGCAATTTTACCACCTTGGAGGTAATGACCCCCAGGTTGAGAATTACTGGTCTAGAGGAATGAAGTCCCTCACTTCGAAGTTGGTGTTTCCCGACTGCCTGGCTGGGGACGGAAAGGTGATGGACATGTGTGGTTGGATACATGGTGAAGAGTCGACCTCAACTGCGTTTGTGTTGTGAGTCACTTTGCTTCCCACCTTCCCTTTAACTTCCCCCTCCAACAACCATTAAAAGTGTGAATTTGGCATTATGTTACCATTTTTCAGCATTCAGGTCTACGTTGCTTAGTGTCATACTTTTTTGTATTGCGGCACATTAGCTGAGGTGTGTTTCTCACCCTCGGCTAACGTGTGTTGTTGATGATGTCCTCACGTACACCCGTATTTTGGAGGGGCAGTATCTCAAACAGGTGTGATGAGACTAAGGTGCTTTAGCCCAAACAGGGTATCCATTAACAACAATGACGCCAATCATGGGTAAATTGTGATTTAATAATTCTTAAAGGAAGCCTCGCTTGATCAATATTGATCTAAATCTTAAAACAAAAAGGAACAAATCCGATGGCACTGAGACAGTGCTACAAATTCAAGGGATCGACGAAATGGTAAGTGCTTTCGCGATTTATAGTGATCAGGTTTTAAATCGTAAACACGTTTGTCGGCTAATATCCCATATGTAGCATTTGTGACGTCGCCTTGGTACTTAGGGCAGAAAGTGTCGAGGAACAACAAAATCCCCTGAAACCAGTACTCTAACAAACCATGTAAGACAGCTCCAGGATATCCCTCAAGTACAGGCAATCGGATGATAGCTGGGAGCCAAAATGAAGGATAAAATTGCGTATAAAATTGCCATGCACTTGACTAGAAACAAACGCAGTAACCACAGTGCGTTAAAGTATCGACATTGAGAGCTAAATGAGTACCAAACTGGTTGGCTGTACTTACACAAAAGTGCAAATGATATTATCGGCGTAGTGTAAGGGGTAGCATGGCCGCAGGAAGGATCCCGCTACCCAGAGGCGTAAAGGCAGGAGGTATATCACAAAATATCACTCCAAAAAACTGTGTTGGACTATTCTATGAGGAAAATAGATCGGAAGCTAAAGAAAAGCAACTATTCTGAACATAATCAGGTGGCCTGGGTTCGAAAGACCTTCATTTTATGCGGGAAAATGTCCCAAGTATCATGATTTGACCGTAGAACTTGTGTAGATCATGAATCATCCAAAGACTAGTAAAGCAATCCAAGTGGATCTTTATACATAAGTATGAAACTAGCTACTAAGATTGTTGGCATCAAAAGCAACCTCTTGACAAAAGCAAGTAACGTACGAGATAGGTGCTCCTGTAGCCTCTAGTCAAACCGACGGAGCGCGAGTGTTAGACGAACAAACTTACTCAGTGATCCACAAGCAAAACGATGTAACACAATCATGCGTGCGGCGAGTGGGAAGGAGAAATAATGAAAGTGAGAATCGTGAAAAGATCGCAACTGTTTCTCATGAATATTGGAAGAGAGAAAACATCGAAGAGGTGGAAAGGTCAAGACATCAACAGTGCACGGGAACTTTGTAGCACCGATTGACCGCTAAGTGACTGTTAGTGGACGTATGAGGGCCGGATTGCTGCGAGGTAGTAAATAGTTGCGCATGATCAAACCGGGTACCTATCGATTCCAAGCCAAACACTTGAATTAATTCGCTAGCGGTTGCGCGGAGAGGGGACGTGAAATCATCCGCAGGCACGACGTCCCAAATAGTGAACGCGAGCATCACATGGAGAAAGGACAGTGTTGGAGCACGTCAGAACACGGCGTCCGCGCATCGCTTGCGTTTAACCCAAACAACTCATGAAGTGAGTCTTTACAGTTCCAAGTACAATACACCAGAACGTAGCATCACGCATTTGAATGAGCCGTACAGCGAGAAAAGCTGCTGGTGTATTAGATACTTGCAGGAATGTTTACTCCGAACGATGTCCTAAGGAGAGACAAGGTCGGTCCGATGTGTAGCGAAGCATCGGTGGTCGATAAAAGTAAGTT